CGTCACGAATGGAGTTTCAGATTGAGGCCTAATGTCGCGGCTATACCTACTTGAAACACTGCATGCTGTTGCCCATTGCCCGTCGACAAGTAGCTTTTACCGTCGTTGGCTGTCTAGCGCTATGGCACTGTCTATCAACTGACCTGATGACTGTCATAGATGACCCGATAGCGGGAGGGGGAGGGGGTAGCGGTGGCCCGTCCAGCACTGGCTGTGGACGGTGGACGGCCGATGGCTGTCCGACCCAGCGCTCCACGCGGCTGATTGAGACCTACTGAACCGTCGATAGCGCAGCGAAAACCGACACAATAGGACCCGATTGGATCTCAGACGATTCATGGATATGTGCACGCTGCACTAGGTGTTCGCCGAGCGGCCGATTGCCTGGTAAATGACCGACCTACCAACCCACTTGATTGGATTCTCTTCGCGTCATTATGTGATGAAACGGCCCCGTCGGGTGATATGCCTTCAGCCTCCGGCACATCCACACCAATGTGTAGATTGGGATTCCCTCAGTGAGGGCCATTTAGATAGTATCGCGCATTGCGCTGATATTGCTGTCTCATTTCTACTCGCGTGTTTTCATAATGACTTACATTATGCACTCTTTGGAAAAATGTGACATGTTTCTTTCATGTGACTTCTGAACGTTGATTTGTATTTCATTGCAAAGCGCTCTTATTAGGTTGTCAAATAAGGAGATTACAAGTTGGAGCTATTTCTATGCTATGTCCTGTAGCATAGATAACATGATTCAAAGGGTGCTGTGTAATGTGGAGTGTGTACTCTGTGCCTTGCTGTGCGCCATGTACCGGGTGGCCCAGAAAAAACGTTCCGAACTTTGGAGGCCTATATCTCAAATTCGAGTACCTACAAATATCGAGCCAAAATTTTCATCAAGTTTGCGTCATTTCTTTGCGCATTGATATGCCAAATTATAACACTATACCATCATTTTCAAGCTAGGAATCTTGAGTTGAATTAAGCAAGACGTTTTTTGCTTTTTTTGCCGATGTCTTTGAAATGTCCTGAAAAACGGTGGGAACACGGACGGACATTTAAGGTTAATACAATACAATGTTATTTCATGTTATCTATGCCTGTGGTTATTCAAGTTATCGACTTAATAAAAAATAAAGGATTGGTGTCATTGGCTGCGAAATGCACGGACTAGATGTTATACATATTTACTAGATGTTATATTTACGGACACAATATAAGTCTTCTCAAGGGTGGTTGGTGCATAAATAGTAAATACCTAGGCATCATTGCGATATGTCTTGACTTTCATGTCAAATCACTCCTTATTGGATTCATTTCGATTGGACTACTGGAGGTCAAGCTTTGTATCACTCGAGGCAAAAATCAAATGTGGTGAGACCAGCACGACTGTTCAGCAGACAAACAGAGATACCCCAGTCAGGGGTCGATCACGGGCTGACCCGTCGGTCACGGGCGGCCGCGGTGGGCGGGGTAGCGTGCACACTGCACGGGCAGCGTGCACGGGCGCGTGCCTGCCGTGAAGAGCGGCTCGACCTGGTGTCGATCGATCGGTCACACCGTGGCCGAGCCGACCGTGGGAGCCGGTGAGAGGGCGGACCAGACGCGCCCGTCCCTGTCCTGCAGCATGGGTCATAGACAGGTCAAATAAAGCTCACAGATCCTTAGCTATTGACAAACCTCTGACAGCTTCACAAGTCTCCAGGTATCGGGCAGGCCCCCCTTGCCTCCATTCTACAGCCAGCAATGAACCCAAAGATCCAGTAAGCGCCATTCAAACACTTGTAATGTATCTCGGTACGAAGACCCAAGTCCCAAATGGTTTTTAAGTTAGCACATGCACTGGATATTGTAGGCTCCGTAGATAGACTGGCGGGACCTATATACTTAGGTAGTGGTCCATGTTTAATTTATCCCGTCTAAACTGAAGTTAGAAAACATGTAAATCAATTATGAGATGAATACCATGGAACACTTAGCGCCCTTGAGTTCAATATTGGTATAGCTATCAAGAAGCGTTATTATTCACCCTTGCTCAACGTTTTGTAACATTCGTGCTCTTAGTATCACCACCCCTGTGAGGAGATCATCGAAATTACGTGAGTTGTGTCATGTGTGTGAGCTAAGCCGCTCTGTGTAGAAAGTGCGCCCCATGGCGGTCCCGACTGGTGTGCTGGTAAACCCAGGTCTCATCAGGTGCTTGGCTAAGCTTCTGTCAGGGACTCCCAAACGCTCTGGGCGAAATTTGTAAGCACTTGCAGAGCGAGAGCAGCCGAGTAACGACAAGGCTGGTACGAGAGCATGTAAGGCGGATGATTGACGTGTCCACTTTTTATAATAAGTTGAATTACTTCCTAATAGCAAACATCGGCTTGCATCAATAAGTTCTTGATTTGGAATCGTTGGACCATTCTTACAAGTGATTCTCAATGCATTGAAGAAGGTTATTGCGTCTAAATCGTTTATCTGCGCGACGTTTTGAATCGCTTTTATACAACATAGCTCAAAGCGCCATCATGAGTGAATTTTGACCTAACCACCTATAAAGTTTCATGAGACATGAGAGTATACTTACTATAAATGTATACCTAGGTTTAGGTAACCCACGCCTCGGATAAACGGGTTGAAGCAACACCTTGTCAAGATTTAACGGCGATCGGATCTGGAATGGTCATTTCATTATGCGTGCCGTAAATCATAAATGAATCGATAAAAAATGAATGGTGCCACTGCACCGTCCACGAGCGGGGAAAGCTGCGGTGAGGAAGCCAACAATGCTGGCCTGTCCTAGAATTGGTGGCGGTCACGGCTCACACATGTATGTATCTCTCGTTTTTTGTCGCTGGTGTGAGCCATATAGTGCCCAGTGCCGTCGCCGCCCCTGTCCGCTGAAAGATACTACGTTCTCGGACACCCAACCCTCACGCCAGGCGTAGCACCTTATGGAGCAGTGCCGTGTTGTCGGCCGGTCGTCGCGATCAGTCCAACATCTCTGGGACGTGCCAGCCGTACCAATTCACGGCGTGCGAGCCACGCCGGGCGCTCAGGCGAACATCATTTCAGAGAAAAAAAATTTGCTGCTTAGTCTGCGATTAATTTATATGCGTATGCAGAACCATGCAAACTGCAGAGCTTTATGAATGACTAGCATCGATTTCATATTAGTCATAACCAAGGAATGAAGTAAGCACATACCTACATGTAGTAGCCCATGGGCCACATATAATTCAATTGCCAGTCATGTACGCGCCTGGAGCACATCGATCATAATGGACATGTGTACCTATTATACGACTTGTGCCTTTGTATTCGGTGCAGCTGCTAGTAACTGGTTGACTGTTGAATGTTGATGCTATCATTTTTCCTGAGATGATCAAAATGGCCAACTTCTTTTCACAAGTTTCCTTTTGACTTCTTGGGATCGGAATATTTATGATTGAAAGCACACACGAGGCGCCATTTATTTTCCGCTTTGCGGTTATGCAACGATGGACCCCGTCATCACCTCGGAAACGTCTCCGGGTGCTATTGTTTGGAGAGCTTCCCTTCTCCAGGAGACGGAAGAGGTTCACCGCTCTACATCGTGATGACGGGGAACCAGCCGAACTCTACACCTTGTGACTGAGAACCAGCCGTACCCTTCGACTTCAGGTGACGGGAACCAGCCGTACCCTTCACCGTGGCGACTGAGAAAACCAGCCATGCTCTAGGTACGTACACCGTGGTGACGGGGAATCAAATGCTTCCTCAAGTGACTTCTCTACTGTTCCTCGCGCCTTGGCTGAACGGCCGCTCAGTCATCGGGCGTCCATCCCCAACCGACACGACGCGGCGGCCACTCATGTGAACAGAGCGCTCAAATCACAAATCTTACAACCAAGTCGTTTCATCGCAGCCAGCATCGCGATACAGCGTGCACAATTGGCCATTAGCATGACAAAAAGGCGATTACACCAAAACCAATAGCTGGATTGGGCCGGCACCTGACTGGCTTTACCCGGCGAGGCGAGGCGGCGCGGTCGTCGGTAAATCACATTCCGTCTGTGATTACAGGCTCGCACGGCCGGACAGCGCCGCGCCGGGCCGCGTATGCATGAGCAGCCTCGCCGCTCGGAGAGGAGAGAGGGAGAGAGAGCGCGCTGCGCATCGCCCTCTCCGGCCGCGAGACCGGCGCGACCTTTTGACCTCAAACCTGGCCGCGTCGGCCGGCCGGCGCCGCACCGCGGCCAGTCGTGCTTCTCTCACATCCCGCGGCCGGCGGCGAGGAGAGGAATCTTCGAGGCACGGCGAGATGCTTCCCGAGCCTGCCGATCGTCGTAGCGCGTTCTGTGACTGCTGCAACTCCCCCAATGCGACCCTCAAATGAATTGTAGAGTCGTCCTCATTCGGCCACTGCACCGGTAGTGACCAGACGGGAGCAGAGGGCAGAGGTCATCACCCTGCCCTGGGGTCGGTCAGTTCGGCCCGCACTCGGCGTGCCGCACAAATCTAAATCACGGTTTCGGCGTGGGCCGCCCGGCTCCGATCTGGTTGGTGGTGGTTTATGCATTTGTTTTGACCGGCCGCCGAGCTTGGCCGGCTTTGAGCGCGGCCGCTGGCCTTCGAGCCATGAATGGTGAAAGGTCCCGGCGGTTATTTATACCCTGTCTGTAATAGAAATATGCGCCACAAGAGGTGAGCGCCGGTGGTTTTTTGTTGAGCCGTAAACTGGCCCGGGGTTGGAGGTGGCGCCGGGTCAGTCGCCCCGGCGCCGGCCGGTCTTCGAGCCGCCCCGGAGCGCGCTCCTGAGAGCTGCCGCGGCCACAGCCGGTGCAGAGATGCCCGAGTCCTGGACTACATGGCTTCTATGGGCTGGTGAGCAGAGACCCACGGGGGCTGACCCTATGCACGAATATGCGAGAATTTCACTCTTAGCGCAGCGTGGCCATTTGGCAAAACATCCATCCCGCAACGGGGAGCGTTGGTAAAAAAGGTGTTTCCCCATCGGAAAGTCGCAGTCCAGAACATTGAGATCATGTATTCTGGGTATAAGAGAGCTATGCTGCTGCTGACACGTAGAAGACACTCATATGTCCACAGAAACAGTACGCACGTCGAGTACACTACATGTAAAGCTAATCGCCACTGCGCCTATCCCGGCTCTTCGATGGATAGTTCGCTGTCGAACAATTGTACTTCAAAAGTTAAACGTCACGCACAGTATGCTCAAACTCGGCTCTAAAAATTGCAGAAAACAAAATTCATGGGGTGTGGTAAAACCAAAACACACGAGCAATCATATTCAGCACCTATGAAAACAACCTTTAACAAACGGATGAAGTGAACGGCGACCTGTCTCGAGCACGAACAACAACACTGGGTTCGTGCTACCACGAACTGGTTTGCATGTTATCACATGGCATTCCGACTTTGGCCTGTGCTGTGCCGACCTCTCTCGCTCGCACGCTCTCGCTCTCGCGCACTCGCTGGCCCGTGCCGGCGGCGCGGGGCGGCGGGGGCTCGGCAGGTACAGAGATCGGCAGGGCGGCCCGGCCCGGCCGGCCGCCGCCGGCCTCTCACACAGTCCTGTCTGGCCGGCTCGGCGGCGGCGGCGGCGGGGGCGGCAGCGCGGCAGCGACGACTCTGAGGTCGCCCATCGGTCCCAGCCGGGCCGTGGCCAGGCGCCGCGTCGGCCGCCCGCCTCTAATACTTCGCTGACTATGGTGTGTCCGCCGACGGTGGCGGCGGCGGGCGACCTCTTTGGTGGCGGCTGGCAGCCGGTCAGGAGAGGCCCAGGAACGGCAGGGCGGCGGCGGCTGCGGCGGCGGCGGCGGCCGGATGTCACATAGAAGCCGGCCAGTGCGGCGCCGCCGACCACGAGCTCACCAGCTGCTGCGAGCTGACGCCGTTCATCACCATGTCGCGGATCAGCGTGGTGATGGGCGTCTTGCCGACCAGGCGCACGAAGAACAGCTGCTCGATAACATCACTGCTGATGGAGCGCAGAGTGCGCAGCTGCAGGAGGAGCTTTGAGGCGCGCAGCCGCTGTTCCGGGTACTGGGTGCTACAGTACTCCATCAGCGCGGAGAGGGACTTGTCCTGCAGCGACTCTATGTGCGCCACGTCCTGTAGGCCGCACGCGTCTGCAAGAACAGAGAGAGGTGCACCGTCAGCGTCTGGGCGGGAGAACGCAGGGGGACGGGACTGGCCGGCAAAGACCAGCACTAACCGCGGGGTATCGAGAGACGGTCGGAGATACACAGGGTTCAGGGAGACATCGCCCAGGGAGACGCATTGAGGGGGGAAGACACAGCTTTGGGACACATGGTTCATAGAGATACACATTACACAGTTCAGAGGGACACACGGTTCAGGATGACAACGAGGCCACCCATGACCCAACTGTCCGACGGCGCTGTTTCAGTGGCTCCGCCATGCTATCTTGCATCGACTAGCAGTGACTCCACCCCGCCAGCCCGTACCAGCAGTGACCCCACCCCGCCAGCCCGCGGGGTCACCGCCGGCGTCCTGACGGCGCCGCCGCTCGCCCCGGGCCGCCACATCCGCCGCGCCGTCCGCGGCCCTGTGTGAACAAAGCCGCGCTCCACTGCCGTGGGAAAACGGCGGTGGCGGTCGCTTCATGGTTGGGCCGCCGCCGACTCTAATGTGAACATCGCTCATAGCAACGTGAGAACGGACGGCCCGACCCGAGCGGCCGCAGTCACCGCACGCCAGGTCAGGTCACGGTCACGTGAGGTCACTTCAGGTCGGGTCACGATGGCCTGAGCTCAGGTCTTGGTCGCGTCAGGTCACGCCAGGTCAGGTCACACCAGCTAAGGTTACTTCAGGTCAGGTCAGGTCACTTCAAGTCAGGTAGGTAACCTCCTCAGAGAACCTCTCGGATTCGTCCTACTCCTCTGACCCATCCCATCGTCCCACTATCCAGCGAATGACGCTAACATCACCGTCGCCTGCAGCGTCGGTCAGCGTCGGCCGTCCGGCCGTCTGTATCGAGCGGGCCAGCGTCTCCGGCCGCCGCCGGCCCCGTCCCGGCCGTAACGGGCGCCGTTACCGCGACCAGCTCCCATGCATTAGCCCGGTTTACAGGGGCGTTTGTTACCGAGATCCAGTTTATCGCGTATGAAACAACGGGCATAATCATGGAATCGGCGCCGGCACGGCAGTATGAATCAGTATAAAACGAGGAGGCGTGCCGCCGCGCCGGCCGGCCGTCCACTGGCTCCGGCAGTGGAAATGGCGCCAGTGGAACGCGCCAGTGGAGTGGAGCGCCGTCGGCGTTGCACCGCAGCCAGGGGTAGCTCGGTGTATTGCCATCATCACCCAGACAAACTCAGTCAGGCCGCTGTGAGCACTGGTCGGCTTCGACCTCCAATCACTGTCCCCGCCCCACCCCACGGTTCGGACAGGTCGCGTCACCTGTGAACGAGTTTGTTGACATCAAGTGTCCACAGCCCTCCCACGAGAAACTCCTTCCTGTCCAGCAAACGGACCGGACCGCCCGCGCCGCCGCCGGCGCCGGCTCTCAGTACCTCTAGATGTCGTTAATTGGCCGGCGCGGCCATCGCTCACAAGGTCCAAACGGCCGCCTCCCAGCACTGCATTTGCGCCCTAACGAACCACCGAGCCGCGCTCAATGTCCGTTGATTACACAGCTCGGGGTGATTGAATAAAAAGGTGAGGGTTAAACGACCTTTTGCCCTTGCTGACCGGCAGGCGCGGCCTCCCGGGCCGGCTCATCTGCATGGTGCTCTCGGTCCGGCCGCGGCGGCGGCCCGGCGGCGGCGGCGCTCCGGCGAGTCTGCAGCGGCGCCCGGCTGACCCCAGCCACCTGACCCCTGCCCTCCCCACCGCGCACCCCTTCACAACAGGTGCGGTGGCACGAGCCGGCGACAAGTGCGGCGGTCCCACCACCTGTCCGAGGGGGGGGGGGCGCCGAGCGGACTGGACCCCAGTCATTAGCGAGGAGCGCGGCCGGGCGGCAGCGTCAAGGCTATCTGAAGGAGCTGATTGGTGACCAGTGACCACCCCCGCCGTGTGAGGTGTGTGTGTGTGTGAGGGGAGGGGGTGCTCCCGGTCCCCCCGACCCTGGTGTCGGCCTCGTCTGACCGCAGTCGGTCCATCACGACGCTCGGCGGCCGGCCAGAGAGCGGGCCGATCGCGCTCCAAGGCTCAGCCGGCCGTAAACTCGGCACTCAACCTTTGTCTGGCCCGGTGCGCCCCTGGCCGGCAGACGGAGACGAAGAGACGGCAGACGGAGACGGAGACGGAGACGGGCCACTCCTACATTCGCCGCCCCCGAGCGGCCGCGCTCTCTCCAAACATAATGGTCCGGTTCGAGGGCCATTGTGGTTTATAGACTGGCAGCGATGCGGTCACTTGACTCCCGAGTCCCAGGCCCACCCTCCTCTACCCAGCTCCCTATAGTCTCCAGCTCCAGTATCGGCCTTTTCTCGCACCGAGCTAAGGTCAACACCCGTCTCGTGTCCTAGAATGGAGCTCATGGGTCACCGACACTAACCTACAATCTACACCGCCTCTTCTGGCCCGCCTCCCCCGAAATCGTCCGTCTGCGGCGCATCCCGGCGGAGCGGCCGCCCGCCCCCGGTGCGTCCCTCTCCCGATCGTGAGAGCATTCCAGCGCGCCGCGCCGGTGGTGGGGCTATTAGTCGGGCCGCGTCTGCTCGTTACCACTGTCCAGGAATGTAACAGCCGGCCGCCGCGGCCGCCGCCCACCGGTGGCCGGCGTTTGACCCGGAGGTCACCGGACCGGTACCAGAACAGCCTGCCAGCCGGGTCATACCGGTGCTCGACCCGGGATAGCTTCCCATCGCGATGGGTGCCTCACCGTTTACAGGACAGACGGAGCAGCTCGATCTCCCATCGTCTCTGTCCAGTCAGCCGGCCGCTCAGCATCCAGCGGCGCCGAGCGGCTGCCGGGCCCGCGCGTCTCCCGCTGCCCGGCGCCCAATTAGAGCGGGCCGGCGCCGCCCCTGTGACCCTGCCCATTACTCCCTCTGACCCTCGGCCAGCAGCGGCCAACAAACAGCGCCGGCGGCACCAGTAGCCGCCGCGGCAGCACGGCGCGTGCTCCGAATGGGCCGCCCGTGCTGGCCCGGCGCCCTGACCCCTGTACCTTTCACCGGAGCAGCGGTACCGGCCGCCCCGGGCCGGCCGGCCCGCTGACCCCTGGCTGGTAGCCAGCTGCTGCCGGCCACCGTCCACAGCTGCAGTGACCGCACAATGTATTCCCGGAGCATCATTAAGTGCCACTCCGGCATGTAATAGAACGCGAGGGGTATGGACGCGGCCATTGAAATTCGGTCGTTTGCAATTCAAACGCGTCCAGAACGGTTACGGGCCGGCGGGAGGTGTTGCCTCTCGCCAAAAACACTGGCGAACGCGCCGGTCGGCGAAGCTGCCCCGTCTTCACATCGACCTCCTCGGACGGCGCATCAATCGGACGGCTTTTTTGTGGCCTGCCGGGCAGATGAGCGGCCGAGGCGGGAGTGGGCTGCCCGGCTCGACCCGGCGGGTCACGGGGCCGGCGCGCTGCTCCGGCCGGCGCATACCGATGACGGAGTGGCGGGCAGACGGCGGGGACACGGGCACGGCGCCGGCCACTGACCACGTGTCGCCAGCCGGCGCCGGACGTGTCCCGCCGGCGGCCACCAGTGTCCGCGGCCGCCGGCGGGCTACCTGACCAGATCGCGGCGTCACGGACACCGCCCGGCGCCGGGCCATCCATCTTATAGCCGCTCTCAATGCGGCCACCGGCCGGCCGGCAGCGCGCCGGATTCGGGCGTATTTCACTCGCTATTTCACCCTTTGTTGGGACGACCGCGTAAATCATTTCAAGCCGAGGTGAAAAATGATCATGGTAAAAAGGTTAACAGAGTGGAAGCGCTAACAGTGGACCGGAGGACGCGGCGTCGAGTTGACTGCCCCTTTTGTGCCAAAAGCGCTGATACAAGCACCGCGGCGGCTTTTTACGCGCGCGTAAATCAGAGCCGAGTGCGGCGTGGGGCCGATCTATCGACTGACGCGGCGGCGGACGGCCGCCAGCTTATGCAAACTATCTGCGCGGCGAGTGTCCGCGGCCAGCGGGGTGCGACAGCGTCCCCGTCCCTCCCCGCGGCAAAATACGCCGGACGGAGGAGAGGGGACCGCCACCGCTCGGCCAGCGAGCGAGCTCCGGCGCCACCGCGAGCGCTCCGTCAGATCGGACCAAACGCCGCTGAGGGTCCGGCATACCGCGATGCGGCATCCGTTTACGAGCCACGCTCCGCCGCCAAATAGCCGACAAAACAATGGACAGCGGCGCACACGGGCCGTTTCCAGCGGCGGCTCGCGGGCAGAAGCTTTACTGCACGGCGATAAAGACGGCGGAGCGCCGGGTGCGACCGGCACGCGCGGGGCCGGCCGGGCGGTCAGACGGACCGGGCGGACGGGCGGACCGGGGGCCGTGACCCAGCCGTGAGACAGGCGTGTTTCGCGGCGACATCTGAGGAACGACGCCGCCACCGCGCTGCCGGTGGGCCCATCGAGCGACACGAGTTTCTCACGGCCCGCGACGACGCCACCTCGGGTGACCTTGCATTTTTTCAGGCCATCAGAGGCCAGCGGCGTGAGATGGTGCCACGACCGCGCGGCGGCCCGTGTCCGACGGGGAGGGCGGGGAGGACCCCCGACCGACGACCGACGGCCGGCGGCAGCATTCCCCGCCCAGCCGCCTTCATGCTCGGTGACTTCTCATGCGGCCATTGTCTGCGTGCAGGATGGGCCCGGGGCGGCATCCCCTCGTGACAGCTCTCATCGGCGCAGCATCCGCCCGGGCCGCCGCCGCCAGTCAGTCGCGTCCGATGGGGCCGCCGCAGACAAACGCCGCAGGGCTCTCCCGACGACGGGAGACGATGTGTCCTTCTAGCCCAGCCCGACCCGACTCAGTCCGAATGCAGTCGGAGTGTCGCCGTGTCACTGGCCGTATTCCAATCCATGTAGATTTGTTGTCCAGACGTGTTTCATTTGACCGCACCGCCTCCGCCGGTCACAGAATGGCAGCGGCAGGTCAGCGAACTGACGAATAATAACCACGGGTCACCGACGAACCACGAACACTGGGCAC